TAGAAATCCGCTCTACCCAGCCTACCTCCCCCCGACCACTGGGGGCTTGGGTCTCCCCACACCCTTAGGTTTTTCCTTTGATGTTTCCTCCAGGAAACACTTTGACACCCTCTGGGTCAGAAGCTCCCTCCCGACTTCCCCTGGCACCTGCATGGTCCCATCACAGCTCTGATCTGGAATTAACACTCCTGTTGTCTATATCCCACCCAGCCTGGAAATCCCGTTTAATCTGGAAGCCCATCGGCACTGCCTCTTTCCCCAGTATCCCACTGATAGTAGGTGCTGCAGTGCATGTTTCAGTTCAGTTCAGTCGCTCAGTCATGTCCGACTCTTTACAGCCCCATGAACCGCAGCACGTCAGGCCTCCCTGTCCATCCAGCAGTGCATGTTTACTGAATGACAAAGTGTGTGTGTGCTTATTAAACAGAAGAAAAGCTGTTTGTTTTAATCAGCTCTGACTCCCCTAACAAAATATCACTGACTGCGTGGCTTAAACAGCAGAAATGTATTTGCTCACAGTTGTGGAGGCTGGGAAGTCTTAAGATCAAGTTGTCAACCAGTTTGGTTCCTGGTGCAGGCTTCTTCCTGAATTGCTGCAGATGGCCACCTCACTGTGTTCTCACATGGTGAAGAGAGCAAGTTCTGGTGTGTTTTTCTTCTTAAAGGGGCACCAGCCCTGTTAGATTAGGACCCCACTCTTACAACCTCATTTACCCATTATCATCTCCTCAGATGTCTTGTCTCTGAATACAGTCACATTGAGGGTTAGTCAGTCACAAAATCAACATGTAAATTTTGGATGGACATAACTATTTCAGTCTTGGCCTGAAGGAGGTGGTCAAAAAAGCCCTTTTCAGGCTTTGAGATGGAATCAGAGTCTTAAGCAACAGGGGGAGGGGAGGGGATGCCCCATCTGAGTTGCTGTGAGGGGGCAGGGTTTTCACAGGAGAGGAGAGGCAGGTGTATCAGGTGAAGGCACAGCTAGAGAAAAGGCTCAGAGGCTGGGAGCAAAGTGAGCGGGAAGAGAAATGAGAAGCTGAGTTTGGACACAACACAGAGTGTGAAGCAAATACTGAGGGCACCCTGGAAATAAATGCTTGTTTATTCATTTGCTCAAAATATTTTTGAGCCCCCATTGTATAGGACACTGATCAAGGCAGTCCCAGCCCTGCCCTTGCGGAGCTCTCAGCCTAGTGGGGGAGATGGTTGTTGTTCAGTCGCTCAGTTGTGTCTGACTCTTTTTGAGTCCTCATGGACTGCAGCAGGCTAGGTTCCTCTTTTCTTCACTATCCCCTGGAGTTTGCTCAAATTCATGGCCACTGAGTCAGTGATGATATCTAACCATCTCATCCTCTGCCACCCTCTTTTCCCCTTGCCTTCAGTGTCTCCCAGCATCAGGGTGTTTTCCAGTGAATATACTCTTCACATCAGGTGGCCAAAGTGTTGGATCTTCAGCATCAGTCCTTCCAGTGAATATTCAGGGTTGATTTCCTTTAGGATCGACTGGTTTGATCCCCTTGCAGTCCAAGGGACTCTAAAGAGTTCTCCAGCACCACAATTCAAAAGCATCAGTTCTTTGGCAGTCAGCCTTCTTTATGGTCCAACTCTCACATCCATAACATGACTACCGGAAAAACCTTAGCTTTGACTATATGGACCTTTGTTGGCAAAGTGATGTCTCTGCTTTTTAATACACTATCTAGGTTTGTCATAGCTTTTCTTCCAAGGAGCAAGCATCTTTTAATTTCATTTGTTCAATAATCCTGTAAATGAACATAAGATAGCAACCCAAACAAGTTCCTCAAGAGAAAGTTTGTCATCTGAGAATCAAGAGGAGTTTCCAGAAAGAGTTCCTGAAGGTGGCAACACTTTTGCGTTGGGCCCCTGAAGTTTCAGTTGGAATTAACTGGGTAAAAAGAGGAACAAATGTGGAGGGCACAGCAAGTGCAAAGGCCCTGAGGTAGGAACCTGCATAGTAGGTTTGAAAAAAGGCAAGGCAACTGGTGTGGCTGCTGTTGAGAGAGTGAGGGGGAAATGGGGGCGTTTCCTCAATTGAAACTGTGACCCCCACCGACTTCTTAGTGCTCTCCTGGGGAGTCCAGAAGAGGTTTTCTGGTGGGCACATTGTAGATGCTCAGTAATGAATGTTTGATTTAGGGGGCTCGGGAGCAGGATGCGGACCAGGCTGGCATATTCAGCCCTTTCGCGGCAGGCCTTACATCCTGTGCATAGAGGGACTGTAATCAGCCCTACTTCTCAGATGAGGAAGCTGAGGCTCAAGGGGAGCACGTCAGCCGCAACTGCAGAGCCAGGACTCAACCCTGAGTCTCCTGGGTCCACTGATCTCCCCAGCTGTGCCCTGCTCTTCCCCGTGGGACTCGGTCCCCCACCTCAGCCTTGAGGGCCTACCTCTCTGTGTCAGGGGTACCAGCGGCCTCAAGACCCGGTCTGCCTTGATGTTCCCTGAAGGGCCAGCTGGCAGCCTGGGGTGAGGCAAGGATTAGGACCAAGTTGGGACTGAGCGGCTGGGCCTGGGTTGGAATCTGGGTGCCTCCACTAAGCCACGGGGTGGCCTTGAGCATGTCACCCTGTCAAAGCCTCAGGTTCTTCATCCGTAAAATGGAAGAAAAGTACCTGGCCTTGCTGCTGTCAGGGGGAGACAGAATGTAGACTGCAACATCAGGCAGTCGGCATTCCGGTTATTGCCCAGCTCCATCTGACTCTGAGCCTCTGGCTTTGCCCACAGCACCATCCTAGTTCCCTCAGCACTGACCGCCACCCTCAGCCCTCGCCCACCCACGTGGCAGCATGAATCAGAATATGTTCATGACCTGCTCTGCTGCTGCTAAGTCACTCAGTCGTGTCCGACTCTGTGCGACCCCACAGACGGCAGCCCACCAGGCTCCTCCGTCCATGGGATTTTCCAGGCAAGAGTACTGGAGTGGGTTGCCATTGCCTTCTCCGCATGACCTGCTCAGAGATGCCTAAAAGTTCTCTGGTGCCCAGAGAATAAAATCCTTGTTCTTCCTTACCCCCAAGATCCTGGTCTATCAGCCTCTCACTTTCCCTGTCCCCTCCCTCCCTCCCTCCCTGCAGCACTCCAAGCCCCCATCTCCCTCCCAGTCTCTCTCCCCCTCCCCTCCTCCTCTCTCCTCCCCGCCCCCTCTCTCCCTTCTCCCACCTCCTCACTCACCCCACTGGCCTCAGTGGCTTCCATGCTTCCTATAGTGCATGACTTTCCTGCCACAGGGTCTTTGCACATCCTGGGCCCTCTGTCCAGGCATCTCAGCCCTTCATTCCCACAGGGCTGCTTCCAGTCCATCTTTCAGGTCTCAGCTTGGCCATCACCTGCCAGGGTTGTGAGAATTCACTAAGACACTGTGTGTAAAGCACTGCAACTGCTGCAAATAGGAGCTGATATTAGAGTTTCCAGAGGGGCTCAAGGTGGATTTCCCCTCCTCCATAAGCCACACAGCTAGGAGGGTGGTGGGGGTGGGTTGCCTGGTGGTCCTGAGTCAGGATGGACCCCACATTCTCTCCCCTTCTTTCTTGGTTGCTGGCCCTACTAATCCAAGATGCACTGAGGGACTGAGCTGGAGATTCTCAGTGGGGAGAAAATGACTCAGGAATGAGGAACACCAGCCCATTTCCCAGATGAGGAAAATTGAGGCCTGGAGAGCTGAAGTCTTGTGCCATGACCTGGCAGTGCTTGTGTCAGCACTCTGGGGGGAGGCTGCTCTTAATTTCTTGGTTTCCCTTCCTCCCCTGAAAGGCAGGCTTTGGAGGTGAGGCCCCAGGCTCAGGCCTGTGCAGCTTGGCTAGGTACCCTGACTCCCCATCTTCAAAAGGGAATGAGGACAGTCCCCATGTTTAAGACTTTGTGCTGTGCCAGTGTGCCGAGTTGCTCAGTTATGTCTGATTCTTTGCGACCCAATGGACTGTAGCCCGCCAGGCTCCTCTGTCCATGGGATTCTCCAGGCAAGAATCCTGGAGTGGGTTGCCATGCCCTCCCCTAGGGAATCTTCCTGACCCAGGGATCGAACCCACGTCTCCTGCATCTCCTGCATTGCAGGCAAATTCTTTATTCACTAAGCCACCAAGGAAGCCGGTTTAAAACTTTGGGTGCATTCATTGAGGTTGGGCCAGATAAAATGCTTAGTAGGGAGCTGGGTGTGGGGGGGTTGCACATCCCATTTGAGTGTATCATGACTACCCCAGCACCCAGCGTGGGGCTCACACAGAGCAGGCGCCCGCACTGGACAGCAGCTTTGCAGTTGTTGTGACCTCTCCTGGCTGTGTAAGCCTGGGTCGGGTCGCTGGGAGCAGTTCAGAGCAACTGCCTACCCGGGGGAGGGCATTCAGCTGTGGGATCAGAGGAGTGTAGCCTCAGAGGTGGCAGAGTGGGAGGGTCCTCACAGACTGGCCCACAGGGATCTATAGCAACATGACTTGTCAGAGCCGAAAAGTAGAAAGCACCCACAGGTCCACCATCATGGACAGATGGATAAACATAATGTGGTCCGTCCATACAGTGGAATATCATCCAGACATAAAAAAGGATCGAAGCACTAGCACATACGCAAATGTGGACGAACCCGAAACCATGGTGCTAAGCGAAAGAAATGCAGAAGAGCCAAATCCACAGAGAGGAGATTAGTGGTTGCTGGGGGAAGAGGGTGTGGAGTGATAGCTAATGGGGTCAGGTCTCCTTTTGGGGATGATGGAAATGTTCTGGAACTAAAAAGAGGTGATGGTTACACCGTATTGTGAATGTGCTAAATACCACTGACTTGTGCACTTTAAGATGGTTCCTTGTGTATTACGTGAACATCACCTCAGATTTTTTTTTTTTAAAGAGAGATTAGTGAGTCTGAAGCCCTGGTTTTATAGATGAAGCCAGAGGCCCCAAGGGGGTCACAGCTGCACAGGTGTGTGAGGCTGTGGATGGTGGATGCCCTTGACTCACTGTTCCCTGCTCTCATCTCACAGCCTGCTGAGGGATGCCCAAGAAGTTCCAGGGCGAGAACACCAAGTCGGCAGCGGCCCGGGCACGGAGGGCTGAGGCCAAGGCGGCAGCTGATGCCAAGAAGCAGAAGGAGCTGGAAGATGCGTACTGGAAGGATGAGGACAAACACGTCATGAGGAAGGAGCAGCGCAAGGTGAGCGGGGCCCCCGCCCCACCTGTGGGCGAGGCAGGGTGGGCAGCGGAGCGGAAGGTGGCGAGAAGCCCCAGGTCTTTGGCCTGAAGGATGAGGCGGCATTGGACAGGGAGCACGGGCAAGGAGGGAGACAGCAGCAGAGGCAAAGGCTTGTGCAGAGTCCCTGAGGAGGCCTCCCTGGGTTCCTCTCCTTTATGTGATGCCAGGATTAGACAAGACTGGCAGTGCCTCACCCCTGCACACGCAGGGGGCACCTGGCAGCAGCTGGCGGCCGGAGGGGCTCCTGGCATGGGCGGGCCGAGCTGCGGGAGGGTGCTCCACACCCAGCGGTCCCACTTCCTACCTGCTGACACGACTCTTCCGGGTGTTTATAAAATCACCAGAGGGCAGGGATAGTCGACTGTCTTCTGCTGGGCCCCAGTGCCTGGCACACAGTGGGTGCTTCATTGATGAGAGGTTCGGGGCTGACGCTGACCCACTTGGTCCAGTAGGTGGCGCCAGAAACCATTCTGAGCAGCCTGGGCGGGTCCCAGGATCCGGCCGGGCTGACACAGGTTCTAGCATTGCGCAGTGGGGGACACACCATCCGTGCGTGCCCAGTTCTGGGAGAGCCTGGGTACTTTTGTGAATTTTTCCCATTGTCTTTTTGTGTAGGGAAAGACAGATCCTGCCTTTTTTTTCTTTTTAAAATTTTGGAAAGAATCAGTGAAAGTGAAGTCGCTCAGTCGTGTCTGACTCTTTATGACCCCATGGACTGCAGCCCACCAGACTCCTCCATCCATGGGATTTTCCAGGCAAGAGTACTGGAGTGGGGTGCCATTTCCTTCTCCCCTGCCTTGTTTTTAGTAGGAATTGAGTATCACTGATTCCCTTCCCCCTCAACCCCTCCTCCCCCCAATCTCCCCTCCTCCATGCTATATTCTGGGCCCATGGACGTCTTTCAGTTTTTTCTTTTTGGGGGGCAGCTTGCAGGATCTTAGTTGCCCGACCAGGGATCAAACTCGTGCCTCCTGCAGTGGGAGTACAAAGTCCCACTAAACTGCCAGGGAAGCCCCTGCCTTTTTTGACTGTCAACATTTTGACAATACAGGAAAGTTAAAACCCAAAAGAAAAACGAGTGTCTGTCAAGGATCTGTTACCTAGACAGAAAAGCCAGAGACCCTTCCACAGTCCCAGAGGCAGCAGTCCAGCCCAGCCCAGCCCAGCCCCGCTCCTCAGGCCTGCATGTTGGACTTCCCATCCTCCGGGTGAGGAAACCAGGGCACAGACCAGACAGGAAGCCCAGGTCACGGGGCTGTGAGTGGGGGCTGAAGCCGGGCGGGGGTCTGCCTTCAGGTTTGCAGTGAGTGTCCTTGCCCCAGGGGCGTGGCCCAGGGAGCATCTGCCCATCCCATCACCTGTGCACACCCCTGGAAGGACGCACAGGCGGAGGTCAGACAGGCAGTAGGGACCAGATGGGCTCTCAAGGCCACTCGACCTGTGGCTGTAGCACAGGCCACCGGATGCAGATAGACCACAGCTTAACCAAAACAGGCCCCAGTTTGCCAGCCCCTGGTCTCCAGAACATTCCCAGCCCCCATGCCCCTCCCAGACAGTCCCCTTCCTGAGTGGTTTTTATTTTTTTGCCGCAGCAGCAAAAGTGCTGAAACCTAACCACTAGACCACCAGGGAACTCTCCCCCCTGAGTATTTTACATGGAGCCTCTGATGGTTCTTCTTCCTCACTGGCTGATTTTCTGGGTTCTGTTTATCCCTCTTCCTGCTGATGGGTGAGGGGGCCCACAGTCTCCACAGCACACCTGGTCCCTCTTTCTTACGTGACAGTTGCTTTAAAAAGATATTGTTTCTATGAAAAGAAAATCCGTGTTTGTTCTAGAGCACTAAAAAAACCCAGCACCCCCCCAACCATGTGATACCAAAGGCTTTTCTCACCCGATGCTGTACCCTACAGGCCATGTCCTCTGTTAAATGGGATCTTGCAGCCAGATTTCTCCCTGCTGCCAGGCATCAGCCTCAAGCTGGGCCATAATTCATCGCCCCGCCCGGAAGGTAGCATTTTGTCTCCATTTGTTCCATATTAAGCAACTCGGCAATGAGCACGTGACTCTCTGGGTTCCATCTCGATTATTTATGAGGCTCATTTTTGATGGCTCCGGAACATTCCACCAGTGGCCTCATCCTTCACCCGCCACCAGATGCTGCCAATTGTTAATTGCCCTTTGTAAAAAACTGCAAGTGACTTCTTCAGAAAAATTCTACTGAATGTGAGAGTGTAAATGCTCATGTTCCTGCCTCAGTCCCATGTCTCGAGAGACTCACGGCCACAGTCTGCATGTCCTTATTGGGTTCTGGGAGCCTTCTGGAATTCATTCATGCATTCGTCCAGCACACTTTTACTTAAGCACCTACTGTGTGCTGGGCCAGGGCCTGCCTCTGGGATGAGCCAGATGATCAAAAGACTAGAAACAGGGATTTGTGGGACACAGGAAAGAGCAATGCAGTAGGGCAGGTGGATAGGGAGCCAGGAGCTCAGGATGAGCCAGAGTTAACCAGGAGAGGAGGCTGGCAGTGGCATTCCAAGTGGGGAGAACATCTAGTGCAAAGGCCCTGAGGCAGGGTTGTGCTGTGGGCAGGGTAAACATGGGCTGTAATGCACCACGCAGCGGGCAAGGAGCCTCATGAGGACCCCTGGGGAAACTCGGACTCAGAGCACAGTGGCCCTACCCCAGGCACCTGACCACAGATGTGGAGCCCAGCAGCTGTGTCCAAACAGCCTTGACCTTTAAACCTTCCTCCTTTCCTATCAGTCAGGCGGATTGCAGGGCAGAGGCCCGGTCCTCAGGAACCCCTCTTCTGGGGCCCTTAGTCCTCTCACAGGGGGCACTGCCAGGACACAGACCATCTCCAAGGCCCGGAGGGCGGGTGGCAGAGTTGCAGGCAGTGGGTGCGCAGGCGGGGATGCCTGCAGCACAGGGCTTTGCGGGGGTGCTGGGTGGGCGGCAGCAGAGTATCTCAAGCCTGTGACCACACCGCGCTACACATGAACCAGAACCTCGTGCTGTTCCCGGAGCAGTGGAGGGCCAGCAGCCAAGGACAAGTACTGTAGGCTACACGTCTCCTCGACCAGCTGGCATCAGAGCCTTCCCGGGGAGCCAGCGTGGGATCAGTCCCAGCCTCTGTGACACCCAGCAGGGAACACTTCAGCAGTGCCTCCCCAAGGCCTGCTGGCCCATAAAATAACCACTGCCCCAGCTGGCAGATGGGTTCCGACCCTCGAGTGGCTCTTGTCGCCTTTGGAATCCAGTACAAACCCTTCCCCATGCCCTTGAGGCTCCCCGTGCTCCCAGCTGTGCCCTCGCCACCTCTTCTCCCTTCACACTTCCCCTCCTCACTCTAACTTCTTGCCGTCCCTGTCATGCTAGGTGGTTCCTGCCTCAGGACCTTTGGACCTGCCATTGAAGAATGGACTAAGGACTAAGCCACTAAGGATTCTCCTCTTCCCCAGCCTAGGCATCACTTTTTCTTCTAGAGCCCCCCACCCCACTGCCTTGCCTAAGGTCCCCACAGACATGTAGGATGGGAGCCCCCAGGCAGGCCCATGGTGCTCCGTGTCCTTACGACTAGCATGGGGTCTAACACACAGCAGAGTCCCCATCACATGGGTTGGGATGCCACTGGGGCAGGGTCCATGCCTGACTCTCCATCCCTCAGGAGGAGAAGGAGAAGCGGCGCCTGGAGCAGCTGGAGCGCAAGAAGGAGACGCAGCGGCTGCTGGAGGAGGAAGACTCAAAGCTCAAAGGGGGCAAGGCCCCCCGGGTGGCCGCCTCCAGCAAGGTCACCCGCGCGCAGATTGAGGAGACTCTCCGCCGAGACCATCAGCACAAGGAAACCCCTGACCCAGGTGGGGCCAGGGCCCTCGCTGGAGCTGCCCTTTTACCTGAGAAAGGAGAGGCAGTGGGCCCACCCCCTGGACTGAGTCCAGAGGGCCGCCTCATCTCCAGGGAAAATGTGTGGGCTCCGCAAGGTGAAGGGTGGCTGGGTGGGGTCTCGGCAGGCCTGGCTCTGAACACAGACGGTAGAGGCACACACGTGTGTAATGATTTACGCCGCGCCTGACCCTAGCCTGTGCTCTCCCGGGTCCCCAAGGCTGATGTGGTGCCCCAAGGCGAGGAGACAGCAGCGGCTTATGAGGTGTCTCCTGAGTGGTGGGCTGCAGGGAAGTCAGTCGGGGCTGGGGGACAGGACTGGCCCACCCCGGTAGGTAGGACTTGCGGAGGGGGTCGCGTTTGCATCCTCAATCCTCTGCCTGCCTCCCTTTCTTCCCTCCGTTCTCTCATCTCCCTGGAGGTCAGCATGTCTGCTCATGTCTCTCTTTCTGGTACATCTCTGTTCCCCGGCCGCTCCCGCCTGCAGCCGAGAAAGCCAGAAGCCACTTGGAAGTGCCGTTGGAGGAGAACGTGAACCGCCGCGTGCTGGAGGAGGGCACCGTGGAGGCGCGCACCATCGAGGACGCCATCGCTGTGCTCAGGTACCCGGCAGAGCCTAGGCCTTGGGGGCGGGGCTTAGGGGTGGGGCGGGGCTTGAACCTCGGGTGGGGCCAGGTCCGGGGGCGGGGCGCACTACGCCCCAGCCCCCCCCTGACGCCTGCGTCTTCACCAGCGTGACGGAGGAGGCGGTGGACAGACACCCGGAGCGCCGCATGCGGGCGGCCTTCACTGCCTTTGAGGAGGCGCAGCTGCCGCGGCTTAAGCAAGAAAATCCCAATATGCGGCTGTCGCAGCTGAAGCAGATGCTCAAAAAGGAATGGCTGCGTTCACCGGATAACCCCATGAACCAGCGGGCGGTGCCCTTCAACACCCCCAAGTGAGCCTGGAACTGGAGGAGCCGCCCGGGCAGTCTGTCAGGGTCGCAGCCCCACACGCCCTCCCGCTGGGTCAGCTCCAAGGGCTACAGAGATATCTGGGGCCATGGCGTGTGTCCTAGGGGCTCGGTGGCATCACTGGCCACATCTCCCGCTACAGGGTCCCTGCTGCAGTGACACCCCTGCCCTTCTTGCGCGCACCAGAATCCTGGGCCCGAGTGCCCAATAAAGGTGGCCGGTGAGGCAGAGTGTGCACTTGAAGTCTACGTGGGGTATGGGTCGATGCGTGAATGGGTGGTGGGAGGAGAGCTGGAACGAGGGGGCCACAGCCAGAGAAGATGGGGGCCCCCAAAGCCCTCCTGTCCTAACAGGCTAGGTGAGATAGTGTAGAGCAGACGGTGCTCTGCTTCTGCCTGGGCCAGTGGTCCAGTGAGAGGCCTGTACCATCGTCCCCTGGAAGCTTTGCTGGGTTGCTGCAAAGGGGTAGCTCAGAGAGGTTGAGGCACTGGCCCCAGGTCACACAGTACTGCAGAGGTAGAACAGGGCAGAGCTGGAGGCAAGTTGTTGGCATCCTGAGATGCCGGTCCCGAATCAGCAGCCAGGTCACATACTGTGTTGGGGTCAGGAGATGCAGGCTGCTCTGCTATTACTCCAACCCGGGAGGCATCTGGGTCGAGTCCTGGGCAGGTTTTCTGGTGGCGGGTTTCTTCAGAGCAGGCGTTTGTGGGAAATGAGTCAGATTCCATTTTAGAGGCAGGGCACTGGGCAGGTAAGGCCCTGGAAGCTGGAGTGGGCAGGTGGAGCTGGGTAGGGATGAGTGTCCGGTCGGAGGCGGAAGGGCTGGGTGAGATCTCAAACGTGGTTCTGGCTTCCTAAAGCTTACTTGACCTCGGAGCCAGTGGAGAGGAAGGGCAGCTGGGAGATGGGCCCAAGTGTGTAGGGCAGGGTCCAAGCATTTATCATGTCACTGCTGTGGGCTCCCACCCAAGTGACTACCTCTCTGCACTCACAAGCCTGCCTCTGCACCTCTGGCCCCCATCCCCTCACCCTCTACCACCCTCCAGCTCCAGCCCCATCATCTGCTTGTTCTCAGCTTCTCCAGCACAGCAGGTTTGTTGCCCCTCATGGCCTACATGCTTAGTTCTTCCTGCCAAGAATGCTTTGTCTCCCAGACATCAAGTCTCAGATGCAGATTTTTACAGATGGCCCCAACTGTGTGGGGTCATGGCTGAGCCAAAGGGAGCCAGGCTCTGCCCGGAAGTAGAGGGGTAAAAGGCTTCGTCGGGGGAGGGCCTTGAAGGATGGGCGTTCTCCACGCTGACAAGGGGCAGAAAAGGGTGAAGAAAACACACATGCAAAGGCCTGGAGTCACAACTCCTATTCTACAGAGTTGTTATTGGTTAGTCACTCAGTCGTGTCTGATTCTTTTGCAATTCCCTGGACTGTAACCCACCAGGCTCCTCTGTCCATGGGATTTCTCAGGCAAGAATACTGGAGTGGGTTGCCATTTCCTTCTCCATGGGATCTTCCTGACCCAAGGGTCGAACCTGGGTCTTCTACATTGGTAGGCAGGTTCTTTACCAACTGGGCCACAAGGGAAGTCCCTGTGATACCCATTTCCAGAGGGGAAAATTGAGACACAGGGCTTCCTAGTTCAACGGGGTTGTGGGGGGGGGGGGTATGCCTTTAATAATCAAGTACAGCTGAAGTGCAGTATAGCAGGTCCCTGAAACAATAGTAGCTGATAACTACTATTATCAACTACTATTATTTATAACTACATTAAAAACTAACCAACATACATATTAAGCATTGGCTTAGTTTGGGGATTTCCCCAGGAGCCAACTCTGAAATAGGACTAGAGGCATGTGAGGGGTCCAAAAAGGACCTCGGGAAGATCTCATAGGGTTTGAGGGAAGGAGCCATTCGGAGAAGAATCTGGAGGGGAGTGTTGGGGGTGGGGGGTGTCCGGAACCGGACCAGCTGTGAGAAACATCCTCTGGATGCTAGACCCTGGCCTAGCACATGGTAAGATTGCTGGGAGAAATATCAATAACCTCAGATACGCAGATGACACCACCGTTATGGCAGAAAGCCAAAAGGAACTAAAGAGCCTCTTGATGAAAGTGAAAAAGAGTGAAAAACCTAGCTTAAAACTCAGCATTCAAAAAATGAAGATCATGGCATCCGGCCCCATCACTTCATGGCAAATAGATGGGGATACAATGGAAACAGTGAGAGAGTTTATTTTCTTGGGCTCCAAAAATCACTGCAGATATTGACTGCAGCCATGAAATTAAAAGACGCTTATTCCTTGGAAGAAAAGCTATGACAGACTTAGCATATTAAAAAGCAGAGAGATTACTTTGCCTACAAAGGTCCATATAGTCAAAGCTATGGTTTTTCCAATAGTCATATGTGGAAGTGAGATTTGGACCATAAAGAAGGCTGAGCACCGAAAACCTGATGCTTTTGAACTGTGGTGTTGGAGAAGGCGCTTAAGAGTCCGTTGGACAGCAGGGAGATGAAACCAGTTCATCCTAAAGGAAATAAATCCTGAAAAGTCATTGGAAGGACTGATACTGAAGCTGAAGCTCCAATACTTCGGGCACACGATGCAAAGAGCTGACTCATTGGAAAAGACCCTGATGCTGGGAAAGGCAGGAGGAGACAACAGAGGATGAGACGGTTGGGTGGCATCACCAACTCAATGGACAAGAGTTTGAGCAAGGTCTGGGAGATGGTGATGGACAGGGAAGCCTGGCATGCTGCAGTCCATTGGGTTGCAAAGACTCATACATGACTGAGCGATTGAACAACAAATGTCATTTTACTGAGCCCTGGGGACAGTCCCCTGTTACATTGATCCTCTTTCTAGATGGAAAAACTAAGGCACCTGCCTGTGTCACATACTCAGAAAGCACTCAGCAGTGTGGAGGTGGGGCCCAGAACTGGGGCTCCGGTTATCAGCTGGGTAACAGAGAAGCCCAGATGGCTCCCCACAAAGGGAGGCCTCTGCCTCTTACCTCTGGGGGCCTTAGACCAAGGCCTTAATGGGTCCAAGCTTGTTTTCTCCTATATAAAATAGGACTGAAAACAGTATTTAAGCCTAGGCCATCTCGAGAATCAAGGAGATGGTGCCTAGGAAGGGCAGATCCTGAAGAAGACCTGGCAAAGGAGCCTCCTGCGTGGCCAGGTTTGGGGTATTTGTTGTGGCCAGGGATTAGGGAAGGTCTAGAACCAGTGATGAGTAATCGGAGGGAAGAAGCAAGTTGAGCCTACAGGGCCTTGGATGCCAAGGGTGGGATGAGTGGGGCTTTACCCCAGGGCGACGGAGAGCCATGGTGGATGTGTGAGCAGAGTAGAAAGTACCAGAGCTGTGCGTGGCAAGCTCTGCTGGGGACTTGTAGGGGAATGGCTGGTAGGTCAGAGAGTGAAGGTGAAACTCAGGACAGAAGCTAGGAGGACTGCCTTCATTCCTAAGGCACAAAGACGACGGTAACAACGACTGTTTCAAAGAAAACTTCGATCTTCTGGTCCCACCCCCGCGGAAATCCCAGGCTCGCGCATGCGCGCAGGCAACAGGGAATCCCCGGCTTCGCCGCAATGCGCGGGAGGGGGCGTGAGACGGGAGTTCCGTGCGCTCCCAGCCCTCTCCGCGCGTTGCCAGGACGACCGGGCGGGGCCGCGGGGACGCCGGACACTCACTGCGCTTGCGCGGGGGTTGTCTCAACAGGGCCAGGGCTTTCCCGTCGCGCGCGAGTCGGAGAGGGAAAAGCCGCGCACGGCGCGCATGCGTCGACCCCCGCCCGACCCCCGCCCTGTGGGCCAGGGAATCCTCACCTGCCGCACTGCGCACTGGGGGCGGGGCGGGGAAACCGGCTCAAACTGGAGTGGGGTTTGCTGAGGCGTGGGCAGGGGAGGGAGCGAGCGTGGGGTCTTCCCCAGGTTCCCGCTCTCGCCGTCGCCTTGACAACCGGGCGCGCGGGCCGCAGTGCGGGGGCGGCGGCAGCCTCGGGGAAACCGAGTGGTTCTGCGCCTGCGTGGGGCTCCGCGCCTGCGGCCGGGGTTCCCCTTCGTGCTCCTGGGGGAGATCGATTGCGGGGGTGGGGGGGGGCGATGTGTGTGGCTGATTGGAGAAGGTGGGTGCCAGGGAAGAGAATGAACGCGGAGAGGGCCTGGGGGACGGGGGAGGATGGTGGTGGAAAGAGGAGGCGGAGTGGGTGCCCGAGAAGGTAGGGGGCACGGGAAAGGGTAGAGGTGGTGGGGAGAGGGGTACTGGATGAGGTCGGAGGAGGGATTAATGAGGAAGATAGTAGAGGAAAGGGAACAACAGAGAAGGGAGGAGGAACGGGGAGCAGCTAAAGGACACGGACAGTATGAGGGGAACAAAGAGAAGCTTATGAAGGGAACACGGAAGGGTATGGGGTGGCTGGGGGAGGGGACGAACACCTTGAGGACACCACCGCCGCGCCCCCCCCCCCGCTCCCTCCCCCCGCCAACCTGCAGACCCTAGGTTTGCTGAGCCAGGAAATCTGGATCTAAGATTTCCAGATTTAGAAGAAGAAGAAGAAAAGGTATAGGACACACCAGTTAAACTTGACTTCCAGTTAAGCAATGGAATAATTTTTATTCTAAGTGTGTCTCATTCCGTGCACCGTTTTTACTGGCAGCTCTAATTTTGGTCGGACCACTCCCTTCTCCTCCCGGCCAACCCCATCCCCTGCCTGTCCCTTGAGTCTTTCTGAAAGCCACTGGGACCTCTCAGATCAGATGATTCCTTTGTTTCTTATCTCTCTGGTGCCCCACAGCCCTGCACACTGGTGCCCTCCCCTGCCATCTCCCATCCTGGCTTCGAACACCACCCTGAGGTAGAGTCCTAGCCAGGCAATACAATGCACAAAGGCTTGGCACCTCCACCGCCTTCTCTCTTTGTCTCTCTGTGTGGCTGTCTCTGTCTTTCTCAACCCCTAAAGCCCCTCCAAACTCTCTGCAATGGGCCTGAC